TAGTCCTACAACAGTGTCTTATTCTACTTGTCTAAGTGGGACAAGATAGGGATTTTGCAGATTTCCTGTAATTTCCTGATAGTGCTATTGTCCATATCGAAAATTACTGACAACTAAGTTGTCTGTTTATTTTTTTGTGAACTTGAATCTTGTTTGAAGAACTTAATAGCTGTTTTGTGCCTCATATTGTTGCTTGGCTGGATATTCCATAGAAGCTCAATTTATCATTGCTATATACAGGACAAAGGTTTGAGAGAGCTTGCAACAAATGCTCTTTCTGCCCTTGTAAGATACAAGCCTGATTATTTTGCGGGTGTCATTCTTGAGAAATTAATTCCTTGCACCCTGTCATCTGATTTATGCATGCGGCATGGTGCAACTTTAGCAGTTGGAGAAGTTATTTTGGCTTTACACAAGTGTGGCTATCTTCTTTCAACAGGTTGGTTCTCATCTGCTGATTTGAACCTCACTTTGTCTAATTGGTTCTTTGCTTTGTCTAATCGGTTCTTATCAAGTGTTACTTCATAGTTTTCTTAATGCAGTTTTCTTTAAATTTTTTGACTTGCCTTCAAGTACTTTTGGTGCTGGTGTTGGTTTCTTTAACAATTTACTTCAATGCCCATATCTAGTTAAAGTTATGAAGAAAAATTTGTTCAAAGAGTTGATTTGTCTCAATAAATATGTGTATCAATACTGAGAAGTTAGTGGCTGATCAGCGATGAACGGTTTATTGTCATTTCTCCTTTTAGACTTTGATTCGACAGACTAATAAATAGCCAAACTCAACTGATACTTGTCTCATTTGTACTCAAAAGTTGAGAAGCAGTCAACCTGAGCTTGTTTATCCCTTGTTTAACAATGCATCAGGGGTTATGTTAATTAAGAATTAGTAGGAGATATGGACGTTCCATGGCTATCTGGGGATTTGTCACACTATCTTTATAAGTGATACCATCATTTACATTGCTTAAATGAATGCATGAGAACTTCAGATCTGTTAGTTCATAGGTGAATTAGTTGGTTTTTTACCTTAGATGATGGGATAAATTTCTCCTAAATCTTTTTAATTACGTAGAGCTTGTAGTTTGTCTTTAGTGTGTTTGTGCTCACAATGTTATACCATAAAATTGCTGACCCTGCTTCATTAATATGATGCAGATAAGCAAAAGCAAATTGCTGGTATAGTTCCTGCAATTGAGAAAGCGCGTCTTTATCGTGGGAAAGGTGGAGAAATAATGCGCTCTGCTGTTTCACGCTTCATTGAGTGCATTTCCTTGGCTCATATACAGTTGACAGAGAAAATAAAGCGAAGTTTTCTTGATACTCTTAACGAGAATCTGAGACATCCTAATTCTCAAATACAGGTTTTGCAACTTGTGGAAGTATTATCAGTGGTTTTATGAAAAGTTAATTTCCTGTATGAACTCTCTTCATTGTGATGTACAGCATGCTGCTGTTGAAGCCCTGAAGCGCTTCGTCTGTGCTTACCTTGTTGGATTGGGAAATAAAAGCATTTATGACATTTTGCCGAAATACCTTGAACAATTAAATGATGCTAATGTGGCTGCAAGACGAGGATCTGCACTTGCACTAGGTGTTTTGCCTTCAGACATTCTTGCTAGTCAATGGAAAGTTGTACTTTTGAAGCTCTGTAGCTGTTGCGAAATTGAGGTAGAGATTACTTATGTTGCCTCAACTACAGAAAATCTATAGAAAGCCATACCTGTGATTGAACAATTCTTGATGTGCAGAATAATCCTGAAGATCGGGACGCTGAGTCACGGGTGAATGCTGTCAAAGCACTTGTCTCGGTTTGTGAAACTTTAACTCAGGAAATTGAGCATTCTAGTTTCTTCTCTAGTGAAGATACTGTTTCTTTTCTTTTATTTGTGAAAAATGAAGTTATGCAGAGTCTGTTTAAAGCTCTAGATGATTACTCTGTGGACAATAGAGGTGATGTAGGCTCTTGGGTTCGTGAGGCTGCCATTTTTGGCATTGAAAAGTGTACATATATTCTATGTCGTAGAAGTTCCTTGGTATCTATAAGTCAATTACAAGAAAGTAAATCCATTCCAGAATGGCAAAACGAAGATAATATTCCAGATGATGAGGTCCAATCATATTTTGATGCAAGTCTTTCAACTACTTTGGTTGGTGGCCTTGTTAAGCAAGCGGTGGAGAAGATGGATAAGATAAGGGAATTAGCTGCTAAGGTTCTTCAAAGGATTTTGTATAGCAATACGGTACCAGTTCCATTTATAGCTTGCCAAGAGAAATTAAAAGATATAATTCCTGAAAAAGCCGATTCAGAATGGGGGGTAAGTAAAGCAAGTTATTTTATATGAAAAATTCAACTTCAATATATTTTGCCAAACATGCCATTTTATTTTTATTTGCAGGAACCAGCTTTCTTATATCCTCGGTTTATTCAGTTACTTCAGCTCAGTTGTTACAGTAAATATGTGATATCAGGGTTGGTTATTTCTATTGGTGGACTGCAAGATTCTTTGAGAAAGGTGTCACTGAGTGCTCTGTTGGATTATCTTCAAGGGAAAGAAGCAAAGGATGGGGAGTTGAGTCTCGCCTCTGATATTCTTTGGGTTCTTCAGAATTACAAAAGATGCGACAGAGTCACAGTACCAACTTTAAAGGTACTTGGGGGTTTAGGGTTCTCAAAAAATGATGGTTATATTTTGGTTTATGTCAGTGTTGGAATGGTCAATTTACTTTCTGAATTATGTAAAAGCATCTTCTAATATTTTGTGTACAAACATGGCTCTCAATACTTGAACAAGAAAATAAACATTCTCAGATTAAAAATAAAATAGATGCCTAAAATAATTCTCAGGTAGGAGTGCAATGAAACAGATGTGGACCTCTTAGTTGGAAGGCTGGTATATTTAGAATCATCTGCACTTCTATTTTTTTTTCTTCTTCAAGAAGTAAGAGTAAATAAAGCTTTTTTATGATAGGCATGCTTGTATGGAGTCAATAACTTTTGTATGATTCAATTGTAACTGCTATTGAACCATGAATTTAATTTTATGCTCAACAGAAGAACATCATTTGTTAAAGAAAGAATACGAATAATTTATTCTTTTATTCATTCTGGTGCTAGAAAACACTCATCCTCATGTTCTGTTGATGTCCTGAGAAAAGTGGAGTTGTTTTCTTTTCTTTCTGCAGCTTATGGTAAGAATATGGAAGTTTTTGTTACCGTTATGTTTTAAATTTTTAAAAAACTTGAAGAAATTGAAGAATGAGACATTTTGTTTGTTATACCTGGATATGAGGTAGTCTACCTTCATTTCATCATCCTGTCCCATGGTGGTAGTGCTGGTTATAAATCATGGATGAGTGATCCCTTTAGTAGGCTCAATTGCTACGCTGATAAATGTGTTGCTGTTTTAATTGTTATTTAAAGCGTGATGCGTTTCGCACTGCAGGCATTAAAAGAGAGTATTTAGCCCTTATTCCCAATAAGACACAGTTGACATCTCAATTATACAAATTTTCATTTCCTTTAGAAAATTGCTTTTCTTAGCTCTAAATCTGTATTAACTCCATTTTGTGTGTTTGAGTGGTCAATCTGTTGCACTCATGATTCATTTGGCTGTTTTCTTATCTCATAATTTTTCATTTTTCATGTTTATAATTTTCCTTTTCAGACTATTGAGATTCTTTTCAGCAAAAAGGTGTTCTTAAACATGGAGGTCAGTTGATTCTCCATAGTGAAATGACATAGCTTTCCGTACTTCATTTGTAAATATACTTTATTTCTCCCTTCTCCCTAATAAAATGGCTTTCTTCCTAATAATCTTTTAGGCATATACTCCAATCTTTTGTGCTGGCATTCTGGATTCCATCACAGTAGAGTTGAAAGGATCTAAGGATTTTTCGAAGTTATACTCTGGGATTGCAATTCTTGGATATATTGCTTCGCTTTCAGATCTCATTAATAAGCGGGCCTTCACGCATCTTCTGACTTTTCTCAGCCATAGATACCCCAAGGTATACAGCACTAGAAGGTTCTTAAGAAATGGTCTATGATGTAGAATTCTCCTACTGTTTTTCCCAGTGTTGATGTGATTTCTTCTGTGGCTGTTTATTCATGCACTGTGATCACCTTGTGTGTGCAGATTCGCAAGGCTACTGCAGAACAAGTGTATCTTGTCCTCCTGCAAAATGGGAGTTTGGTAGCAGACATAAATTTGGAGAAAGCACTTGATATTATTTCAGAAACCTGTTGGGAAGGTGACTTTGATGAAGTAAAACGTAAAAAGTTAGAACTCTGTGATATGGCAGATGTTGAAGCTGGTCAGCTTCCTAAAGCTACCAGTGAACAAAACAACACTGTACAGAGGCGTGAAACACTTGATGAAAACGCGTCATATTCCTCATTAGTTGAATCAGTTGGGTTTTAGATTATTCAGTCAAAACCATTTGAGGAAGGAGAAAGATGGTAGGGGTGTTTATTATGTAAGAAAGATGCTGCGAGGAATTGAAATCTATTGCGTGTCTTTTCTTTTTCAGTATGTGAGTGCTCATCCGATCAGCCACCTTTTATTTCAAGAATTCTTGCTATTGCTAGGACTTTGCATCAGTCTAATTGCAGCTTGACCTGCAACTCTCTCATCTTGGCATATTTAATTTCCTCGTGTTCGAAATGACTTTGGCTTGGGTGCCACTTTCTGAAAATAGGCTTGAACGGGCTGTTATTGAGGCTGTTGCCGCAGATGGTGTGAGAGCTGTTATTGAGGTAACAAAAGCTTTCATGCTGGTGCGTTAGGTAAGATTCTGAGACTGCAGTAGCGCGGATGGCAATTTGGCTGGCAGAGCCTTCTGTTGTGTCAGGTTTCGAAGGACAAGTTGATGCTCTTAATGTGATCTATATACTTCATCGGTCCTATTGCTGAACAAAATTAAGGGCTGTATTGTATGGCTAGAGGTTAGCAAAGTGTAAATAAAATAGAGAGGGGAGAAGTTAAGTGCTGCAGACAGGAGTAATGAGAGTGCATTATAACAACGTAATTATTGAATCAGCATCTTTGAGCTTTCTAAATCACATTATAAATCTACATAGACTGTATTATTAGCACACAGTCATTTAACTCCTAAGCAAACCAATATTAAAAGCGGACGCTATAGCAGATTCTTAAGAAAAAGAGAACTTAGATCTTTGAGTGGCTTGTAGGTGCTTTCTACAGCCAGACACATTTCGAACTACAAACCTTCTTATCAAAATTTTCAATCCAATAGATTACAAATGCAAGTCAATTTGATAAAGTAGTGTAAAAAAATCCAGCAAAAAGGTATGATATTCCCCCGAGAATGCGAAGCGGGTACCACTGGCTTCTTGTCAAAGCTCTAAAGCACAAAAATAGGTTGAGATTGATCTGGCTGGATGATATCGGTTATGAGTGTATCCAGGGGAACACGTTGGGGGATGTTGGCAAGCGTGCTGTGAGAACTTCAACCCCCGTCTCCGTCACCTGCAAAATTGCACTTAATTATATTGTGCATCACTAGTTGAAATTATATTATCCCAAAAAAAAAAAAAAAGGGTTAATCAGATGCACGACTTTTCGTTGCACTTGGCATACATCAGTTTCAAAGCAAAGAGACCATGCTAGAATGATAATCCTAGAAAACTAAATTGTTCTGTTGCAGGGATGTTAGTAAACACCACAAATGCCTTGCAACTTTTGTAAACTTTGAAGACTTCTTAGGAGGTGAACCTTGGGTCTAGTCTATTGCCACTAAATTAACTTTAGCAGTGATTCACAAAGGTGGCAAGGCACTTAAGGAATACAGTCAAGGTGGAAATGCATACATGCATGAGATATTGTCCCTCTTGAAGGAGTCTAAATTCTCATGTGGTGTACGAACTCATTGCATCACTAAAATGGACCAATTTCATCAGCTCCCAAGTATATGAAAGAATATCCAAGGACCAGTAGCAAACAAATCAGTATTAATGTGTTCAACACTAACAGATCTCACCAAAAGAGTGTGTTCAAACTGAGCACTGCGTTTTCCATCTGCAGTAACAGCTGTCCATCCATCAGGCCACATCCGGTCACGCCAAACACCTGTCAGTGGGAAGTAGCTCAATATATAACATTGAGAAAACCTAAACCTATACATATCGGTTGTGATATCCTGTGAATGAAACTAGTACCTGCATTGATCATTGGTTCTATAGTAAAGGTCTGGCCAGCCTTCATTATACCAACTGCTTTATTTCCTGCTCGGAGTTAAAGGGCAAAACCAGAGAAATGGGAATTCAACAGCAACGGCAATCAATCCTTTCTATCTTCTATAATTTATCTATTTAGTACCATTCAGATTCACTGTACCCAAAGACAGATTTCATGGAGAAGCCATATTTCAAACCTAAAACTGGGAACCAGAAGGTTTCAAGCGAAAAAGATTTCATAATGTCAAGCAGCTTTTCTCAAGGATACTAGCATAATGCGGAATATTTGGTGCACAATGGAATAGCTCTCCAATACCATGACCACAATAAGATTTGACCTGTTTTACAAGCCAGAAACGCAAAAAAATTTTATAAAAAATGAAATTGAAGAAATATTTTAAATTCTTTAAGCAAGACGTGGGGAACAAGGTACTAGCAGTTTACCACAGAGAAGCCTGACATCAAAGCGTGTCGATTGATGACCTCTCCAACTTCACGAAATCGTACCCCAGGCTTGACTAGAAGTAGCAATACAAAGTAGTTTAAAAAAAAAAAATGATACTCACTGAATCTACAACTTAACTTCCCAAGAAAGTTGGAATTTTGTAAGCGGCAGCATTCCAAAACTGAAAGTAATATCAGAACTTTGTGGACAGATGCAAATTGAAACATGCAAAACCGGGATGAAACAAAGCACATGCAATATTACTTCTAAATAAATCACAACTTTGTATCTCTCCTTTAAAGTAACAATATTTTTCCAGATGGAAGAATTTTTTTTGCAAAGAAATGAGATGCATCAGAAAGGAAAGAGTACACGTCACAGATAGAAGGAAAAGAGGGAAAGAAACTGCATAATAAGGCTACTAGAAATGTCAAGTGATGGTAAAGTTCAGCGCTGATCTCTAAGAAACAGTTCTGGGGCTGTCAGGAGATGGAATACAACTTTGATGTACAAAGATCTCAAAGCAACACCCACCAATAGATATTGCCTTCTCCAAACACTCGTATGTACATTGCACGAGCCGCTGAGATGCTTCATCAACGTTGCCCACAAAGAATGTTTCATTGAGATCACCTGCATACTCAGCATAACAGACCAGTTAATCTTGTAAGTTTATAGTAATCAGATTAACACAACAAAAAAATCAATAGTACCAAGAGTTTACCATGGACCCCTTTATAGTACACAGTTACATCTACATTTACAATGTCGCCATCCTCTAATTTCCTGAGAAGATTAAGTATATAGCATAATGTATAGAGGCTCAATCCAACTTTCAGCGAGGCTTAGATATAAAATATAACAGATTGTTACTAGATCCTCCTTTCAGACTGTATTACATAATAAAAAGCAACATGATCCCAAATTATATATATATATATATATATATATATATATATATATATATATAAGCAAGCATGAAGCACCTCATAAAATGGAACATAAACTAAAGAAAGTAAGACAAAAATGCAGTGATCAGCAGCATTCTTTTACCTGCCTTCTGATATTGTGGAATGAACAGAAAAAAGAATTTCATATGAAAGACTAATTGTGCAGAGAGAACATAGTCAAACAATTTTAATCGATATGTTAAATTCAGAAGTCAGAAGACATGGTTAGGATCAGCAAAAGGACATCAAAAGAATGTACGATGTTTAACAGAAAAACAGAAGCGACTACCATGAATATGCTTGGTTTCAAGCAGGAGGTACCTTGCATCCGGAATTCCATGGCAGATTACCTCATTAACTGACCTGTGACCACAAGGCAGAAAAATGTCGAAAATGCAGGATGATAACAAGGAAACATGAATGTACCGTGCACAATGTGGAAGTACCTACGTGCAGCAAGATTTTGGGAAGAAATGATAGTTCAGAGGCGATGGGTATCCACCTGCAGTGGATAAAACTGAAAGTGTCATGAAGGTCACGGATAGTTGCCATGTGCAATATCATATGAAAGAACCAAGAATAAGAAACATAAAAATTGCTACAAGTCAAACAACAAGATAGGACCACCTGTGCAATAATAATTATAGTACCTAACAAGAAAAGAGAAAAGAGAGGGAGTGGTAACATCTAAGAAGGGGTAAGAATTTCAAGAAAATTTTACTATCATAAGAAGGATCTCAGACTATCTACATCACTGAGAAAACTAAAATGACTAATCCTAATGTACAATTTTAGACTTGTTTGCCTATCATATCAATAGTTTATCTAGATAACCACCAATCAAAAGAAACAGGTAAGTTTTCTAACAAGATGTCTGCCTTGCTCAAATGTGGTAGAAATACATGCCAGTGATCTAAATCCAAAAATTGGCTTGAAGCTAACAATGCAAAAATGTCTTCCAAACTAAAACAAGGCAGAGAAACAAGTTGGATTGTTCGCCAACACACATCTGGAAAAATAAGTAGCCCAGATGACAAATTTAGTGTACCGACAAATTCAAGTTCTCAATATAAAAATTCTTCTCAAAACACAAACATGAGTGTACAAAGGCACATGAGAGAGAAGGAAAAAGCAATAAATTTGAATAGCATCCTAAAGGAAAAACACCTGCAGAAACAGTAGCTTCATGAACCACCGCATCAATTTCATCAGTAGTTATGCCAGGTCGAATAACACGGGCAGCTGCATCCAAAACTTCTCTTGCAATCTGCGGGTCACAAACAATACTCATAACCAATTCAAAAAACTTGTGTGTTCAACTAGCATCTATAGTAAGGTTAACGTCAAATTTTATCTTTGTCATAAAAGACTGAAGTTCTTCCACAAGGATAAATACATAGAAAATAAGATAAGCAAAATATGAAAATTGCATGGAAGTCAAGATGAATCCCCCCCCTCCCAAAAAAAAAAAGTTTTTTCTCAGTCTCAATCAAGTGTAAGATAATTTACTTTTCTTCATCAGTTCCAGACTACCTTCTTCCTTGACCGAGATAACATAAAACATCATATTCATATTTCTCTCTCTAACTTCAGATAATGTTTTCCATGATCAATTCCTTGCTTTGTCCATTTTTTTGTTCTAAAGAGCCATTGTGCCTCTTGCTTTTTAAAAAAAAAAATTGAGGAATGGGATTTAAGAAGTGGAGAGGTGGAAGGGGGATCAGAACCCAGGACTTCTAAGTCGTGAAGCCTCAACCTCAGCCACTAGACCAAGGCCTCTTTGGCTTACTGTGCCTCTTGCTTCTTAATGCAGATTATTTATAAACAGAGACATAAATTCTGCGGCATGTACTTGGTTGATGTGATTCACAACTTATAACATAAAGATTGATATCTCAAACCACCAAATAGAACAATGTACCAAGTTAAACAAAAAGACAATTACTTACTCGACAAGTTTCTCGCATTCTCTCAATTTGGTCGGGAGTCTTGATCTTCAAATTACGTGTATTTGCAAAACATAAACAAAACTAAGTCACAACTCTCTCTTGTGCAGAAATTTGAGACTAAAATGTTTAGCTTCAATCAGAGGATACCTCAACAGTGTGCTGCAGGTCACTATTTGGCTCAACCTTTGGGATTCCCTGCCATGTTAAACATACGAAGTTAAGCAAACTCAAGAATTATAGCATGAAGTTCCAATGCAAAGTTAAAATTACAGTCCACGAGCCTAACTGAAATAAAGGATTACAATTTCCATATAACAACCAAGGAGATAAATTAGTAATGAAACCAACTGATCATTAAAATCACATTCATTCAAATAAAAAAACTCTGCAGAATTTCTGCTCTATACTTCAAAACCTATAAGACAAAAACAACATTTGAATGGGAAAGTGAAACACTCACATCACTTGCCCAATCAGGTTGTTCAACGTGAGCAGGAACTTCACGCTTTTTTGATATAGGATACGGCCTTAGTGTCCTGAGCCAAAACAGAAGAGATAATTCAAAAGAACATCCCCAATAAATCAAGGCATTGGCCATTTTGAGTCCCTAGTTAATCCATTGCTCTCATTCTAACACTTTTTCTTTACATGAAAGGATTACAATGTTCCTAAATTTTTGGCGAACCTGAATCTCAAGCAAAAATTACAATGACTTACGAGAGAAGTTGCTATCACAACATACTTAATTGCACTTGCATAAAACACGTAGAAAAGGAGAAATTTTTCCTCCAAGATCCCAACTCTTTATTCATTGGAAACAATTTATGGAACATTATCACTAGGAAAGGCAACTTCTTTAGCAAGAGGATGAGAAGAATTGGCCACACCAGGAGTCAAAATTGAGTAAAATACCCTGTCCAATCAAAGTTTGGCATTTTCAGTGTACGAGCCTGTCCTTTCTTCAAGCAATAAAGCCAACTGCTTGCAGGAGAGGTAGCATCTTGCTCATTGCCAGGTGAAAGTTCCAATAATTTCGCTTTCAAGTGAATTGATTTATGAGAACCCCAGGATGCCTTGAAACAGTCCTGTGTGCTAGTAACAAATGCATCTCCGTCAAGGTAAAATATAAGCCATGCCAAAATATTAAATGTTTGAATACATTCAGGCATACATACATGTTTCAGCGGCTCTTTTATTGTCAAATTTATAAAACTAAAGAGTAGCTGTTTTCAGAAGTCTTCCTTCCATTTTTTTTTGTTTCAGCTCTATCTTTGCTAATTGACTCTTTCAGGAAGTTAAAACCCAGAAGCATGAATATACAATTCACAGGTCAGAATTACAAACCAGAAAGCAGCACCTTCACGGGGAAGCTTCAGCTCTACACATTTGGGGCACCTGCAAGGGAAAATCCCACTGCTTATTATATATGAACCAGCAAGACAATCATCAATTTAGTGTAATATACACATGGCCCATATAAGATTACTTCAGTAAGGAAAAAAGAAAACGCATGAGTTTCTTCACCTTTTCACCATTTTTAAACAAAAATGCTTTTACAGCGATGTGAATCATTGTACAACTTTGAATTTGTACCGCAGAATGAGTAATGATTAGTGTAAACAATTTAAGAAAGTATATAGGATAAAGATCACTAACTGAAGATGAGCTGGTTTGCCACATTTAGCACAGCACAAGGCTGCAGTTTCAACAGCATCTGCTCCTCCACCCGCCATAAAAAAAAATCTGATTTTTCACAAATTATCAATCAGATTTTTGAATATTTTTCAAAAATTTTATATGGGTTCGAAAAAGATTGCATCTTTTTCGGTTGTTGCACATGAATAACTGACCTGGAATCTGGGTTCTGATCGTTTCCAGTAGGAAGATTTAGGAATTTAACGGAGCGAGGGTTGAGCTAGGGTTTTGAGCTCCGTTTTGAAGTTTGTAGAAAAAGGAAATTTAGTAGCAGAATAGCAACAAAACGAAAGAGAAAAGAAAAGTAGTTGAACAGGGCCTCTCTTTTCTTTTTCTAATTCGGGTGTGGAAATTTTTACCATATACATATTAGGATTACTTTCAATAAGGCCCGCCTCAAAGAATGGCCTCTTACTCCATTGTTTTAGGAGAATTTTCGCTTGTTGGACCCTCGTGGGAAAATACCGGTTTTCATCCCTAAACTTTGGGCACAAGACACATTTCGTCCCTCATCTTTTGGGCATGACACATTTGGTGTCTGAATTAATAATTTTTGACCTAATGTCATCCTCAGACAGCAATTTAACCAACCTTTAACGGACCGTTAAGTAAATGTGGCTAATCGAAGCAAAATTAGGTGGAAAATGACGTTGTTTTCACTTCCTCTGCAAATTTCCAAGACTAAGCTCCTATTGCAAATTTCTCTGAGAGTAAACCCCCTCTTCCAATTATAAATATATAATTATAATTATATAATACATATAAATATTACTTGTATTAATATTTTATATAATTATAATGTATATTAGATATTAAATTTAATCATTATATAACCTTATATTCATAATAATAAATATAATTATAATTATATAATTTATTGATATTATATACACATATATATTATAAGGGATAATTACATAAACCTCCCCTAAATTAGCTTATGGAAAAATGGAAAAATGGATAATTTATGGAGAAAAGCCATAAAGAGCTGGTGTTTTATTAGAGAACTGGTTTATTTTTATTTTATCCGATAAATAAATTTGTTTATGAAAAAATGGGTACTCTGTTCTTATAATAGAGGAAAGCCATAAAGAGCTGAAGTTTTATTGGAAAACGAGTTTATTTTTATTTTATTCGATAAATAAATTTATTTATGAAAAAATGGGTACTGTGTTTTTATAATGGAGGAAAGCCCTAAAGCGCTAGTCTTTTATGGAAAAGCGATACTTTACAGAAAGTGACCGCGATTTGGTTTATGAAATTATCCAAAAAAACAATTTAGAATGAATTTGTTTATTTAATTAAATAATTATTATATATATTTATATAATGCATAATATAATTATACTAATATATTTTATGAGTATAAAGTATATTATATATTAATTATAATTTTTAGTATATATTAGTATATTTATCATAATAAATATAAATATAATTATATAATATATTATTACTATAGACACATATATATTAAAATATATGCATATATAATATACATTTATAAATATATATAAATATATTATTAGGGTATATACCCTAATAACTATAATATATTTAGGGTAATAACTATAATAACTATACCCTAATAACTATAATATATTTATATATATTTATAAATGTATATTATATGTGCATATATTTATAATATATATGTGTATATAGTAATAATATATTATATAATTATAATTATATTTATTATTATAAATATACTAATATATACTAAAAATTATAATTAATATATAATATACTTTATAATCATATAATATATTAGTATAATTAAAATTTATATATATAATATAGTTATAATTATATATTTTATAATAATATTAGTATAATTATATAATGCATTATATAAATATATATATATAATAATTATTTAATTAAATAAACAAATTCATTCAATTTTTTTTGGATAATTTCATAAACCAAATCGCGGTCACTTTCTGTAAAGTATCACTTTTCCATAAAAGACTAGTTCTTTAGGGTTTTCCTCCATTATAAGAGCAGAGTACCCATTTTTCCATAAATAAATTTATTTATCGAATAAAATAAAAATAAACTCATTTTCCAATAAAACTTCAGCTCTTTATGGCTTTCCTCTATTATAAGAACAGAGTACCCATTTTTTCATAAACAAATTTATTTATCGGATAAAATAAAAATAAACTAGTTCTCCAATAAAACACCAACTCTTTATGGCTTTTCTCCATAAATTATCCATTTTCCCATTTTTCCATAAGCTAATTTAGGGGACGTTTCTGAAATTATCCCTTATAATATATATGTGTATGTAATATTAATAAATTAGATAATTATAATTATATTTATTATTATGAATATAAGTTTATATAATGATTAGATTTAATATCTAATATACATTATAATTATATAAAATATTAGTATAAGTAATATTTATATGTATTATATAATTATAATTATATATTTATAATTGGAAGAGAGGGTTTACTCTCAGAGAAATTTGCAGTAGGAGCTTAGTCTTGGAAATTTGCAGAGGAAGTTGTTGAATTGAAAGAAAAAGGGAAAGTGAAGACAACGTCATTTTTCACCTGATTTTGCTTCAGATAGCCACATTTACTTAACGGTCCGTTAAAGGTTGGCTAAATTGCCGTTTGAGGATGACATTTGATCAAAAATTGTTAATTCAGACACCAAATGTGTCATGCCCAAAAGATGAGGGACGAAATGTATCTTGTGCCCAAAGTTTGGGGATGAAAACCGGTATTTTCCCGACCCTCGCTGTATGAAATTATTATTTCATCCTAATTTTGTCCCTCTTGTTCAAAATATTAGGACATTTGATAGCTTATCTTATATGAAAAGAAAAAAAAAAAAGAGACTAAAGCGCATTTCCCCCCTCCTTTCTGGTTAATGGGCTGCAAAAGGAGGGAAAGAAACAACTAACATGAAAGAGCGGAGGATTTTATAGGTGAACAAACCTCATTGTTATTAACATTCTATTCTTACTAATATGCTACTTCCAATTAGTAAGGATGCTTTTGCGAAACAATTAAACAGTCAAAATGTCACACCTGAATCATAATATCGAAACAAATTATTGCATTTATTAGATTGACGTCTCAATTCTCGTGCAAAGATGATCGCCTGCCTGCCTCGTTTACAGATTGTGATTCTTGAAGCACTAATAAGGGGCAGTTTTCACTTTTGTTTTTCCACGATTCATTGATTCGTTATATAGTACTCAGTTAGGTGAAATGAAAACTGCAGGAAGGAGAGATTTTAGCTCCGTTGAGGATTTTGATTTTTAGGCTAATGAAATCCAATTAAACTAGCCACATTCCGAGTGGAATATAAAGTTCTAACTGCCAAAATACAAGTTAAACAAGAAGGAGGCATATTGTCAAAGCTCTCAAACTTCAAACATCAAGCGAAGATGGTACTCCGGTGGCAGAAAGCCACAGGTCCCCCTGGATGAAATTTCTTACAGAAAACCAACTAGCCTCTCGGGGATCGTACATTGGATGAAATCCAGGCCATTTCACCCTGTTTGCAGTTGAAGCTCCACGTCCTGTGTTCATATACTCCCCATAATACAGTGTTGAAAGAGCAAAATTTCCCGCCCATTCGCTCCATCCTCGTGGATGAACTAAGCCACCCAAGTCTGTCTTAAGAAATACGGTTCTTGAATATTGCTTCCACGGCCGACCAAGGTAACTATTGAACCTCCCCGTAAAGGGGCTGAATTCAGAGGATGGTGCAACTCGACAGTTTATTATTGAAATCCCCGTATACTGATCTGGGTGATCCCTCCCTTGTGCAGTTATCATGTTAGACTGGTCATCCATTGGCCTACGCACGAAAATGTCGCAATTTTGGAAGACTGCTGATGCATCACCAAAGATGAAGTCGATGGTCCCATGTATCTGGCAATCGCGATAGAATTGTCTTAGCGAATGAACCAAGAGGGTGTCTTGGTAACCTTTGAAACTGCAGCGATAGAAGACCGAGAGGTCTGAGCCTACCCTAAGTGCCACGGCCTGCATTTTTTGAGGTCCTGCTGTGTTCTCAAACGTTATGTCTCTTGCCCAAAAGCCGTTTCCAGAAATACCTACGTGCAGAAAGGGTGATCATTCAATATTTGTGAAGCTGACATACAACTATGTCAGGCATTTTACGTATTATTCTTAATGGAAAATAAAACATCTTTAGCTGGATCAGCTTTTAATTTATCTGGCAAATTCAGAATCTGGTTAGTAAAGTCTTCATGGGAATAGTGAACTTTAAGAAGAATACTAGATTTCAAGCTTACCAAAGGTAGCAGAGCTCAAGGTACTTGCACCATCAACGACATTTTGATTGCCAGTGACAATTGTTTTGTCGATACCATCCCCAACAAACATGACATTCTCCAAATTTCTCGGGATCTCCACCTTCTCATGGTATAACCCCGATTTCACGTATACTACTGCTCTTCCTGGCCTATTATGTCCCATTCTGCCAAGAGCAGCCACTGCCTCCTTTATAGTCTCAAAGTTTCCTGATCCATCCTGCGCAACTACAATATCAGCCTTCGACGTTGCTGGACTCCATGATGCTAATAGCCCCCAATATTGATCAGTGCCTTGTTTTCTTGGAATCCCTGAATAAAAAATTAGTTAGCAAAAGGATTATAGCGAGCATCCCCTGCTTAGTGTAACTTTTAACGAAAGGAGCGATATTTCCACTCAGAAACAGTAAATATTTCACCAATACATTTTGTAGGGGGAGTTCGTACGTTACTTTTTTAAGCGATCATGCCCTGTTTGTTAGGCAATTTTACATGAATATAGACACTCACTAACCATTCTGCCTAGACATGTACTAGACGGATAAGTTGCACAAAAGGCCTAATTACTCTGAGAAGCTAGCTTACCATGCGTTAGTGGCCTTCCAAAATTGCCTTGTAGCTTTACCGAAGCCAAAGCTGCGTGAAGCAACAGAGTTAAGTTTTGTGCTGCCTGAGTATCAAAAGACAAACCCTTCTCCTCCAAGCCATCCAAACAACTTCTGTGGCTAGCCAAGGCCGCACTCAACCAGGTGACTGCATCAGCTTGGCTGTAATTCTTGCTAGACAATTCTAACCATGCAAGCAATGGCTCAGACTCCTCATAAAGCTTCAAGCAATCAGCAATAGCAATATCACCAAATCTTGAGCCATGATCCAAGTGATCATGATATCTTCTCAAGCTTTGAGCCCAGTTAACGGCTTGTAAAATGCCAAACCTGGCCGCTCGGACCGCCTCAAGTTCTTGCTCGCAGGAGATATAGCTGGGTACTGCAAAGACAATGAAAAGGAAGATCGCAAACCCTGAAGTCATTTTGAACAAGCAGACGGCGGTGAAGTTTGGAGCTGTTGGTTTCCCACCATACAAGGCACTTTGGAGAA